AGGTTCATTTTGATAGCTGTATTTTGTATTTTGTTGTCCATTGTGTAATGATTGATTGAAGGAATATATTCATTTGAGCACAGTTTGTGGTGTTTGACAGAAATATTTGTTTTTGTTGCATGTTTTTAATTTTTTGTGAGTGTTAGAGCATTTTGCAAACTAAATGTATCAATTTGGCTTGTGACTTTCAGTTTAGGCTTGTGTATGAACTGTTTTGAAAAAGGAACTTCTGAATGGACAGATGTGTTCAAGCAAATGAGAAAAGCTATAATAAAACCTATTTGGGATTGGTAAAGTGTGGCTCTTAGAATTATATTGTGAATAGAACTGGTTAACTTTGTTAATGATAATTAACTATAATTTGATGATTTTGTGGTCTCTCTCTCTCTCTCTCTCTCTCTCTCTCTCTCTCTGGTTTATCCTTCCTAGTCTTTTTTACTCACCTATTTTAGTGTGCTCCATCTGTGCTCCTCTCAGAACCAATTATGAGAAATAATGTTCTTACATAACAGTGTGTCATATCAGGCTGCCCTTGTGCTCTGACCGCACAGCCTGGTGTAATCATGGCCTGCTGTTTCCTTACCTCTCGCCTTTCATACATTTATTCATGTGCTTTATACATATGCATATTCTGACCTAAATGATATGGCAGCTTGCTTTTGCTGTTCATGTGAGCGGAAATGTAATTGTGTAAGATAACTCAGTCACTGCAGGGTCACTGTGAACAGCAGTTCATGACATCCTGCTCGACCCTCAAGTACTGAACATGCAAGTGCTGGTGCACAGGGGCATATTAGCATCAAAGCAACACACAACTAAAGGCAATAATCCGACATAACCATCCATCAAGCAACAATATATACAATTAAAGCTGCAAGAAGCATTTTCGGGGGCCAAGCACCCAGACTTGGTGAGCTGCATATTCACAGACGCACTACAGTTGTTGCATAAGAAATCACAGGAAAGCAGAGCCATAACTATAGGCAAAGGGAGTCAAGAGTGATTTGTAGTTTCACTCATTTGCCAGTTCATTATAGGAGAACACTTTTGAATATCAGTGTTCCTTTGATAATTTTTGTTTAGACAGGTCTGAAGATGACGTGAGCCAAATTTGGTTAAGATTGGACAAAATTTGGAGGAGGAGTAGCAAAAATGGCACCTAGATGGAAGTATTTTCAGCATGTTATTGTAACCAGTAAGTGTCACTGTCACAAAATTTGTTGTATAGCCTCAGGGCATGGTCCTGAAGATGCCTACCAAGATTTGTGTCGGTGTGCAAGGTCATTGCTGAGATACTGTTTGGCAGCTTTGGCATCAGATTTGTTGGCACATTATGGGCAAACTATTTGGAATGTCAACATTCTTTTGATAATTTTTGTCCAAGTTGGTCCAAATATGATATATGCCAAATTTGGTGTTGATTGGATTTAATTTGTAGGATGAGTCAACATGATGTACACTTGAGTTTCAGATGTTGGTGTATGTTCACTTCAGCATACCCCAGGGAATTATAGGAAAAAAAGAACACAAACTCTTCAAATGATATAAGGAAAAATGAAAGTTGTTATAGTTCTTGACCACAAGGTGGCGCATTCAGGAACTTGGGTACATTCAGGGCATGGTCCTTAATATACTTATCAAATTTCGCGATGATATACACCATCACATCCTGTTTTTTGCATTTTCAAGCACGTTGCATGAGAATGGTTTTGAATATCAAAACTCTTTTGATAACTTTTGTTCACGTCTCAAGATGATATGAGTCAAATGTAGTGAAGACTGGACAAAATTTGTAGGAGAAATAGCAAAAATGGCAGTTAGACGTAAGCATTTTTAGCATGTTATTGCAACTTTTGACCAGTAGGTGGCACTGGCACAAAATTTGTTGCATAGCCTCAGGTCATGGTCTTGAAGATGCTGATCAAGTTCTGTGTCAGCGCGCAAAGCTGTTGCTCAGATACAGCCTCACTTTGGTGGCTTCACTGTCAGATTTGTTGGCCCATTATGGACAAACTGTTTGGAGTAATCAAAATTCTTTTGAAAACCTTTGTGAAATTTACTCTGAAGATGACGTTTGCCAAATTTGATGATGACTGGACAAAATTTATAGGAGGAGTAGCAAAAAAATGGCTTTTGACAAAATCTGGAAAATCTAATTAGGCGGAAGCTGACGTCATAGGGTGCGTTGATCTTGTCTCAACCCAGAGAATCCAGGGATGCCTTTCAAATTTTAGACCCATGGTTCAAAAATTATGACCATAAACGTACTTTCAAATTAGGCCCAAATTTGACCTGATGGTGGTGCTAGAGAGTTGGCAGCACTTGGCCAAAATTTGGTAGAATGTTGCGTAGACCTGCCCTAATCAGTGTGCCAAATTTCACAACTTTTTACCAGATGGTTTTATGGGCTGCCATAGACACCCTAGCCAGAAGAAGAAGCAGAAGAAGAATAATAAGAAAAGGTAGAATAACCATAGGGTGCCTATTCGGTACCTTCGGTGCTTGGCCCCCTAATGAAGCATCCAAATGATTTACTTTTTAAAAACTTCCTTGAATAGATTTTTTTTCAAATCACTCTATATTATCACACCAGCCCATCATCCTGGTACCAGTAGGAATTACAAACAGTGGTGCAAAAGCGAATTTGCATGCAAGGAAACTGTTGGACTTACTGTTTTCCTGTGAATGGCCTAAATCTGAGGAGAAACGGCATGAAAAGGAAGGTGATTAATAATGTAAGAGGATTATGAACAGGTTTAAACACCACAAGCTTTCTGATGAAATGTAAAAACAAGTTTTTCATGCGAAAAAAAACAATATTTTCATGCAAAAATGAACTTTGTTTAAAAAAAGGATTAGAGGATTACATTAAAGACTGATAGGTCTGTCTGCTTCTCAATATGAGCTCATGTTTTTGCTTATACACAGATTAAAAACCGACCTTTAGATTTAGAATGAACAGATAAATGTTCTGGACTCTAAAAATCCTTCATCCTTGAGGAATGAAGAATAGATCAGATAATTTTATTAGACAGAGCACTGTCTAATAAACTCTGAAGTGTTTCAGATAAATATAGTAGAGTGTTCTCTAGATTCTATTACCAGTCTGTCTGTATACCTATCTGTTTGCCTGTGTGTCCCATTCTTTCTTTGTCCCTACCTGCCTGTCTCTGTCCCTATCTGTCTGTCCATCTGTGTCCCTATCTGTCTGCCTATGTACCTGTCTGTCAATCTGTTTGTGTACCTGGCTGTCTGCCTGCCTGTCTGTCTGTGTACCTGTCTGTCTGTCTGTATAGTGATCTGCCTATCTGTCCCATTATGTTTGTCTGTGTCCCTACCGGTCTGTATGTCTGTCTGTCTTTCCCTTTTCCTGACGGTCTGTCTCTACTTTTTAGGCACATGCAAAGAAATTATGTAAAGCAAAGATGCCTTTAAATATAAAGTAATTAAACATTTCTACAATTTCGTCAATTTTATAAACATTAAATAAGGGCGTCTGGATAAGGGCATCTACTAAATGTCATAAATGTCATACAAAAACTACTATAAAGTGCAGTAAACAGTAAGAAACTAAACAAAGTTAATATTTTGTGTGACAACACTTTGTAAAAATGCATCAGTAGACTCTAAGGATCTTGGAGAATCTGCCATAGTTCTCCTGGAGACCTTGCGTATCACACTTGCTTCTTGCTTCATGTTTTTTGTCATAAAAGTGGTCTATTACATAATATGTTACACTCTATATTGACATACAAACAGTCTTTTGGAAAGTAATGCTTGGAAATCTAATTTATTTTATCATCTAGAAGTCAATCTATCCATTTTCTCTACTGCTTATCCTACAAAGTGTCACAGGGAGCCTGGAGCCTATCCCAGGGGACTCGGGGCTCAAGGCGGGGGACATCCTGGATGGGGTGCCAACCCATCGCAGGACACAACAGAGCACACATTCACACACCCCTTCCCTCACTATGGACAATTTAGAGATGCCAATTTGTTCTGTGTAACAATCAGCCTGGGGAGGAAACTGGAGTACTGAAGCTCCAAGCACGCAGGGTGGAAGCTGGAATCAATCCCCCAACTCTGGCGGTGCGAGGCAAACGTGCTAACCAAAAACATTTGTATTAAATGAAAAAGAAAAAAATATTTGAGAAGTAATTTTGGAAATATAAAATGCTTTTGTACTGACTCAATAATGTAAATCTCATAAATAAACATCCATAACAAAATTTGTATAAAAAATAGCGTTCTGCAATATATACGGTATATCCTTAATGCCCCTTAAAAAAGAAAAAGAAAAAACTTATTATAACCTGGTTGCACCTCTTCACTAATACCTTGTTAAAGCAGTTTTTGCTTGTAATACAGCACTCGGTCTTTTTGACTAAGAGTCTACGAACTTGGCGCACATTGATTTGGCAATTTTATTCCATTTTACCTTGCAAAAATGCTCCAGCTCTATTAAACTGCGAGTACAAAGCCCTCTTTATGTTATTTCACAGGTTTTCGATAGGATTTAGATCTGGGCTCCAACTGGGACATTCCAAAATTTTGATCTTCTTCTTCTGAAGCCATTCCTTTGTTGACTTGGAGTTATTATTTACTAGAAAAAATATCTTCGGCTGTCAAATAGAGGCCTGCAGGTTTTGTGCCAAAGTAGATTTGTATTTTGGAGCCTCAATGCATGATGCTGCTGCTGCCATGATTCACCATGGGTATGGTGTTCTTTGGACGATAAGCTGTCTTTTTGCACCAAACATATGTTTTAGAATTATGCCCAAAAAGTTCTACCATGGTCTAATCAGACCATAACATGTTGTTGTTCCTCTTTCAGCTGCTCCCGTTAGGGGTCGCCACCTCAGATCTTTGGTCTGCATATTTGATTTGGCTCAGTTTTTATGCTGGATGCCCTTCCTGACACAACCCTCCTCAATTTTATCCAGGCTTGGGACTGGCACTGAGAGCATACTGTTGCATGCATCCCCAGTGGCTGGGGTTGGTTCCCTGGCTGGGAATCGAACCCGGGCTGCAACGGTGAGAGCGCTGTGGCCTAACCACTAGTCCTCCAGGGCCTAATCAGACCATCACATATTTTGCCCAAATTTTTTGGCACATTTGTAGCAAAATTTAGGCACACTACCTCACAGCGCAGACATCTGAAGAATACAAGAGATACAAGTCACATGCAGAGAGTGAACAATACTTGTCAAATATTCCTTCAGCTTCTTTTATTATTGGTGTATGTCCCTTGCCAGCCTCCTTGATAATTTTTCTTATTGTCCTTTTGTCAATTTTAGACGTCCTGCTCTTGGTAATGGTACTGTGGTGCTGCATTTTCTCCACTTGTTCATGATGGCCTTTATGGTGATCCATGGTACATCTAATGTTTTGGAATCCTGGACATGGTCTGTAAACTTTTTGTGGACCATTGCTTAAGCAGTTGGATGAACCCAAGAAGAGGTCAAGAAAATCCTACAGAAACAGCTGTTCTTTATTTGGGGTTAATCAGAATCATTTCATTGATGACAGGTATATGATAGTTATATTTCAACATGAGTTAGAATGTGATTAATTCTGAGCACAGTCACATGCCCCATTATAAAAGGGTGTACACACTTATGCAACCTGGTTATTGTAAGTTTCTTTTTCATTTTTTTCAATAGTTTTATTGTTCATTTCCATTTGTCATCTTATATACACTGTATGGATAAGTATGTGGACACCTGACCATCACACCCATGTGGGCCTTCCCAAAACTGTTGCAACAAAGTCGGAAGCACACAATTGTATAGGGTGTCTTTGCATGCTGTAGCATTACAATTTCCTTTCACTGGAACTAAGGAGCCCAAACATGTTCCAGCATAAAAAATGCCCCTGTGCACAAAATGAGCTCTGTAATGAAATGATTAGCTAAGGTTGTAGTGGAAGAACTCGAGTGGCCTGCACAGTGCCCTGACCTCAACCCCACTGAACACCTTTGGGATGAATTGGAATGCCAACATGCTCCAGGCCTTCTCACTCAACATCATGCTCTGTGCTTTTTGCCGAGGTGGATGAGGACTGAGACACAAAAACTCACCAGCTCTGTTCTAAACGTCCCAGCAGTGAGACTGCATTAGGACCATTATCCTGTGTGTCCTTGCCTCTGACGTACCGCTAAAACACAGAACTTGATTTCACACCCATTACATTACAAAATGAAGCACTGCATTATTAATTGGAATTTATGGAAACTGAATTTCACTGTTTTGTGCTGAAAGAACAGTTCAGGTAAAAAATCATATCCTCAAAGCCCCACTCGAATGATAATTTGATTCGTATAAGACTTATTCTTTACTTTTATGAAACTGTTATTGAGATACTGAGGAAAATATGTGGAGTCTCTGCCCCGTCTCAACCTAAAAACAGACTGAATTTTATTCCTGTTCTGCAGTATAGGATGCAACCTTACCTCTGTGTCTGGTGTGTGTTCCTATCCTACAGATCCACTGATTCCAGTGATTACCTTCAGAAGGTTCCATGTGGTGAAACAGCATGGATGGAAACATCATACAGATTTATTTAAAAATACTGCCTTTTATTTTAGTTTGTTAGCTGATAAATTTAGTTGATATTTAAAGAAAGACTTGTTTTCAAGTGGGCAAATACTGGAATTATACAGAAATGTAGTGTCATGTGACCGTTTTTTCCATAGTGAGTCTTTTTTCTGCAACAAACCAGAAAAACATAGAAATCACATGGCCAGGAATGCCCCTTGCTGAAAAACATCATAAGAACCCATTAGAAAATTCTAGTAGAATTCTAGTGTGTTTCTATTGGCCTGTGATGGTAATTTAATGGAATTTGTTTGTGGAATTTCTGTAGCTTCATATCTGTGCCATTGTATTTGGACATTGTTCACTGTGGAGATTCAGCAAGACACTGATGAAAAGTCAGGGAAGCAGAAAAATGGAGAAAACTTCAATAATAATGAAATTATTGATGGAAATGTGTCAAACATAAAGTGAAACTCATGTGACAGCAATTTTTTTTTGGAGAAAATCACATCATATATATATATATATATATATATATATATATATATATATATATATATATATATAT